AGAGAAAGGAAGAGGAACACCAAAGTGGCAAAAAGTCGAGAGCGAGAGAGGGACAGAATAATGATTCACAGACGTAAAATAGACAGACAGACACAAAGGTAGAAAAAAGGTGAGGTGAGTACTGCGAAATTAGTCGAATATGAAATGCAGTGGGGTCTTAGTAGTTTGAAGTCAGAATCACCTAGAAAATAGAAGTTGGCTTAAAAAAGTAAGTAATCCCTCAACTTTAACTAGAGGTTTTGAGTCAAAACTTTACGAAGTGTTTCGATAAGTTGAAATAAATAAAATGCCATTAGATTGGATGCGAATTTATCGTGTTAGCTAGGTTATTTTTAAACAGTATTTGGAAAATTGAAATGCGAATAAGAGAGGGTAAATAAGATTACTTAAACCATTATAACTGGAAATTCATTAAAGTAAAATGATCGATTAAATAAATTCAATTCCACAACCAAAAGCATCCCGATTTCATTAAATTACAGTTCGAATACCGACAAGATAGAAATATATTTATATACAACAGAAAGCAGTAAGACAACACACATTTTATTCGAGCATACAAAAGCAGATGATACACCATTTACAACGACAAAAAAATAACCTTCAGATTGTTGATCCCGAGAGCTTCGGCGGGAGAAAGGGACCTGCAGACCCTCGCCAGTTGATGTGGTAACCAAGCTACTGCGTCTCAATTCAGTTGCTGTTGTTTTAAGTAACGAAGCTAAAAGTAGCACAAACGCAGTGAGAATAGGTAGATTTTCAATCAAATCAACGCAATGCCTACAAGGTGTCCTTGAAGTGGAATCACACTTAGATAAACAAAATGGGAAACTCAAAACCACTTGCCATTTTCAACAAAATCTATTGTCAGGAAGTAGGAGAACGAATATTCCTGCACCGCCTCGTACACAGCAAGTAAAATGACTAAGGAAATTTGATTCAGCCAATTTTCACCATTAGGGCAAAATTGCAAACTGAAAGACTATAACGATCTCCGGGTTCTTAATCGTTTATGAGCTTGTCAATATTTAAGCAGTATATGAAACTTGGTGACCAGTTGATGATAAAGCATTACAAAGGCAACTGGAACTGACATGTACATCTCAAAAGCATAATTATAAATGTGTTCGGTATATTCATTTCTGATTAATTATTAGTAAAGGATGCATTTATAGCATTTATCCTCATTCTGATTTAATCTTATGGGATGATTCACTCGAATAATTACTATTTTCCCAGTCTAGAATCATTGCAAATGCTGGCTATTGTTATAATACTCACTAAAAATTGACCCCCCCTTTCTAAATCCACGTCATGGTGAACATTTAAACGGCGGAAGTAGAAACAAACATTTGCCGGAAATGCAATTAAAACAATTATGTCCTCAGGAGGTACTAAGAAGGGAATGTGAATTATAATGAGCATACTGTTCTACTCACTCATTCTCTCATTTCACGCCTTAGTGAACTTATTTGTTATTCACACAGTTTGGTTGCTTCTTCGTGATTGGAAGTTTCTAAAGCGTTTCTGCCCAACAATAAAGAATGATAATGAAACTAGAAATAGAAGTAACTTACATATACTTTCGAGTGGATTTTTGTCAATTTTCATCAAGAGGTTTTCTTTGCTTCCCTGCAACGATGCCGGCTAGGTAAAATAAAGTGCACATTCGGTGTAAATAAGTTAACCCAACTTATTAGTAGCTGGACTCATGGAAAATTTTCATGGTCCTATACTAAGGAGCTATATATGCTCACACTCTGTTTTGAGACCTTGAGTTCATGCTCTAGGGCTATAGATTGGTCCCAGAAGTGGGTATGTGCGAGTTCAAGGAGCAGAAAAGCACTTCCAACTCCGTGGATGCCCCGATTCACCCAATTTCTCTCGTAACCACAAATTACCGCCTTTGCCAACCAAACGAGATGACGGAATATTGGCGTGTCTTGCAGAGCCTAGAAAAGTAAGAAAGTGATGAAGAAAAGAAGAACCCGAGGGTATCGTGGCCGATTCGGGGGTAGAAATCGGCAGGATAAGCTAATTTTTGGTAGACTATGTTTAAAATTTAATTTAGACTGGGGTGTGCGATAGACTTACCTCCACGTGGTGCACCTTGGACAAGGGGTGTGCGATAGACTTACCTCCACGTGGTGCACCTTGGACAACGTATACTCATACGGCAAAAAAGTCTACTAACCGGTAGTTGACTTCTGAATTCAAACTACCATCACCCCACTGTATGTCATATTCAACCACTTTCACAGTATTCACTTTACCTTTTCTCTGCCTTTGTGTCTGTCTGTGAATCGCTCTTCTGTTCCCCACCCCTCGACTTTCTGCTACTTTGATGAACCTTCCCTTTGTGAAGCCCGGAGTCAGCTATTTTGATGAACCTTCCCTCTGTGAAGCCTGAAGTCCGCTAAATCGAGGAACCTTCCCTCTGTGAAGCCCGAAGTCAGCTATATGGCATTCCCTCTGTGAGGCCCGAAGTCAGCTAAATGGCTAATGTCTTCCCTCTGTGAAGCCTGAAGTCAGCTAAATGGCAAATGATAGCTATCAAATCACGAAGTCAGCTAAATGGCTAATGATAGCTATTATAACGCCTGCCAGAGTCAGCTAAATGGCTAATGATAGCTGTCAAAACGCCTGCCATTTGAAATAAATGAATAAATTTAATTTAGACTAAAAAATAAATACTAAATAAAGTCTTGACTGTTGAAATTAATAGGGCTTTAAAAACACGCCAATGTATTGGCCACTGGTTCATAAAAGTTCAATTAAACTAATGCATATCAACGTCATTTCTGATAGTTTATTTCCCGAAAGGCAAATGATATTTAAAAAAAGTAACTAAACTCAATGCCAAGGACAATCAAAGTTCAGACAAAATTGCCGAATACATCACCAATAGCTGAAAAATTTAGAACGAGAGAAGATTGAAACAGTCATAAATTGAACCCTTTCACAAATCTACCACTCCCAACCTCCCCCCCCCCTAAAACCCCACAGTCCATAATCTAGGTCAAAAAAAATCCAGTTTTTTTAAATTCTGCAATTTAGTAATGTACAGGAGTAAAATAAGATTAACAAGAGTCCCATTTTTTGGAGAAATGGGAAAAAACTGATTGGCAGCAAATAATAAAATATAAAAAAAAATAAAATCAATGGGAACATTTGATTAATTTCAATGCGCGCCTCTATATCAATGGCGCAATTAACTCGCCAAATAAGGCCGGTAAACGTGACTATTAGTTAGTATTTTCAGTGTTTACAAAAAAAGCGAAAATTTGAAACCCAATGAAAGTCAAATGGAATTTTACCACATTGGGCACCGAAGACTCTGGTTCATAATGAAAGTTGTGAGATTCAGCGAGAAGTTTAACAAGGGCGTAATTGCGATATCGCTCATCCTCCATCAGAATTTGCACCTCGTGTTTCGTGCGCAGACCCACTTTCTCGCCTGACCAAATAGTTTGTGTCAACTGCTTCAGCATTTCCTGCTTCTCTGAGCTGAAAAGAAAGAGGACATAAACCCGGAATACCTTTTCATCCACTGCGCCGCAAATTTTTTATATTGAATCTTTTGGTTTATGCATGCATGCATGATAAATGTAGCGTGGCGTAAGCATGGGATAATCTGAAAGAGGAAGTAGCATAAAAGCAATAGCTTTTGCGAATTTCTTTAGGTTAAAATGATCAATTAAGAACCTATGGATATTTAAATCAATTAACTAATGAAAATGACTGTAGTTAAACAAAAATACAAGAGTTTGTAACAAAGTGGTGGTTATAAGAATTTTCGAATTTTATCTTTTTACTTCGATTTCATCCTGCTGTTGCTGAAAGAGAGCAAGGTTGGAACATCTTTACGGGAACAAATTAATTAGTTCCAAAAATAGGAATATTGCTAATTTTCTTTTTTTTTCTTGAAACGAAACAGCACTTCAACATGCCAATGAAGGCAAAACCTTAATTCAAAAACGTACATCCAGTGGGATTACCAAAAAATACATCACAAATTGATTGTCATTCGACTTAATTACTATTAAATATATGAAACCATGGATATTGTAAGAACAAAAAATGGATTGACAATACCGAAAGCTCTTAATATTTCGAGGATGAATCCATCTATTTATAAACGAAAATGTAAAACTTGGTACCTCGAACTTTTTTTCATTTTCTGATGGTAAATATGAGTCTAAAGTGGCCTTAGACAAGGAGCAAGTGAAATGAGATGAAAAATCAGAGATGCACAGTAGAAAGCCATATAGTTTATGCTACATATTAATGATTGGATACCAAATAAAATGGGAATTTCAATTAAAACAGTTTAAAAGACACGCTTGAATAAGTTGGCTTCATAAAATATAGAGAAAGATGGACAATTGAAAAAAAAGCATCAAATGTTCTTTTTTTAAAGCCTGAACTCACCTCTTCTCATCGAATGAAGTCCAAGTAAGCCTGTTGAACGCCTTTCGCTTCTCCTTACCCGAAATTGAAAACGATTTCCGTTCCTCCTGAGACATATTTGTCTTGGCTTCTGTGATCAACTTGTTCGTGGAATCCTTCAGCCTTGAAAGCTTTGGCGATTGGATAAATTGCTTTGACTTCTCGATTATGTTCTGTGGTTGAGCTAAACAGCAAATCAGGGGATAATGAAATAGTTTATTAAGTTAATATAATTTTAGAACGGTAAGGGTTTGAAGCTGCATTGATAATTTCAGCTGATCACCACCAGGCTTAAAACTGATTACATTGAATGTCAGGACATTTACAAGAATGGAATATATATATATATATATATATATATATATATATATATATATTTCAAATGGCAGGCTTTATGATATTTATCATTAGCCCTTAAACTTTGACTTCAGCTTCCCCCAAG